GACTCATCATGAAGCTTTTGCAAACTGTCATCGTATTCATACTCTTCAACGCTTTGCTGTCTAATATCGTGTACAGACTTTAGAATAGCCTCATTCAATATTTCAAGATTAGCATCCAGGTTTTTACGTCTTTTCTTATCAAGCTCCTTTTCTTCAAGTATCTTAGCTGCTTCTTCATCGCTCGATGGGAAGGGGTATTCAACCTCATTAAGATAGCGGTCCAAGTCCTCAGCTCCGTTGAGTAGGGACGAAAAGGTATCCATCCACATGATATTCTTCATTAACCCCTTCCAAGCTACACCACTCACCTGCTTGTGTGCTTTGTTTTCACGATTTAAAATATTTAGGGGTCTAGACCCCGATGGCTGCCCAAAGTAGTATGATGGATGGGACTTAACAACACCGTTGATTTTCACGATTGGTTGTAGCCGAAATGGAATATCAATACTATTAGCGTGCAACTGGCTGTAGTAATCAGTTAAGATATTCTTGGCGTCGTTATCAGCGTTTGATAGGCTTGGTTCATGTCTTCATCAATACCACTCAGTAACCCATGCTGAGCTTCACCATTAGCTGGGGTAAAATCATTTATGTGTTTGGTTTCATTGCTACCAACTAGTTCTAACTCGAGGCCCCTGGCTTTAGTCATATTAATGAAAGATTGGAATGTCATTATCCAGTTCACTTTCTGAGTGATTGCTTGCTTCACACGCTCGCTATCTTTCCCGTAAACGCTAATGCTATTGCCATTGATCCAAACATAGCCATCTTTGTCAATAGGAGAAGATTTTGCGGAACCATTAAGAATTGGTACAATCTTCTTTATCAATCCGTTAGATTCAAGGACTTCCCTATTTTTGCTAATTGTCCAAAATAATTTGAGCTTGCTGTCCATTTGATCGGATCTTGTGGATGTTCCAGTATCGAACACAAAACTGTCGTCAAGTCTCTGCTTAGAGCGGTTTGAATAATCTCCTTCTGAGGCATTGATTCTTTTTCTTTTTGAGCCGATATTTTGCCAAACCTGGTATGGGCTATTTTTGTCCTCTTTACCCATCTCATTACGTCGCTCCTTCTCATTGACGTATGCGAGGAATCTGACATCATCAATTAATACCTCACCAATATGGTCATACGTCTCAGACCAATCAATGCTCGGAACTAGTACATATTTTCTCAGTTTAATACTGTACACCTTAGCATCCATCCCAATATAATACTTAGTAAGCTGCCGGCCGTTGGAAGCAATAGGGTGAATATTTAGTTCTGCAAGGATGGGGTAAACCTCGAAGATTTTAGCGACCGCTTCCTTTGACTTTGTTTGATTTTTCACCTCAGCATTGCCTTCGTCGAACAAATCTTCTTCGACGGGCTTTTGCGGCAGTGGACTATCAGGGCCAACACCAGCATCTGTCATTCTTGCACTATTATCAACTCCAACATCAGTCGTATCGGGGCTCACGTGGACCCAACCATCGCTGGTTTTGGGCTTAGCAGTACTGGAAGCATCAACGGACTGAGGCTTTGCAGTAGTCGATGCATCGTTCATTTCAGGTGTTGCATTAACTTCAGCATCTACCATTGTTGAGGACTCAGGTTTTTTTTGGGAGTTTTCAATATTCAGACTTTTTTTTAACTCTTCCGGCGTAGCCTCGTCAGGGCCAACCGAAATATCAGACTGAGCGGATTGTGTTGATTTCTTTGGAACAGTAGTGATACCATTCGCGATATCGCTAGCCCATGATGCACCTTCGTACATAAGGCGTTTGGACTTGGCTTGACGAACTCGGCGCTCAGCTCGTTCGAGTAGCTCCTGTCGGTTTTGCTCTCGCTGAGCGAGGGATGTAAAGTTGGGAAACATCGTCTAACTATATAATGGTAGTCATAAAAAAGTATTAGCATCGATTAAATACATACTCACCAATAGCTTGTCATAACGGAGTCATGCTTAAATGGTTGATACGTATGACAGAAACGGTTTCGCTCATTGAGGAGATTGATGTATCGATCCTTGATGCAATGAAACGGCACACCAAATATCGTTTCTAACTGGTCGCGGTACTGTAGATTGTACACGGTTTCCCGGAAATTGGCTACTGGGTCTAAATCTCTGAGTTCATTTTTGATTCGACTAACCTCTTGAATTATCCACAGCTTTCTTCGGAGCTGTACAAGCTCACGTTGATTCTCTACGCAGTTGCAACACATTCTATATATGAAGTCATATATTTTAAGCATTATTTTTGGAAAATAGATTGATAGATATAGATGAGTCAACGCTTACAGTGGATTTCACTATTTAACTTATTTCGAAGATAGTTCGACTCATTTTTAACGACTTCCAGTACTCATTCTCTAAGGTTGATCTCTTGTTCTTATTGAATAATCTAAGATTATCTTGTGGCTCCCAGGAGTCAAGTTCATTACCGACCCACTGAATGAGATACTTGCACTTGCCAGATCGCATCTGTTTTGTGGTCTAAGATCTTCTCCACCTCTAAAATATCACGTCTGTTGATAGTAGCTTCAGATGTTTCTGCTTTAACAATTTTTAGATCGTTTAGCCCCTTGTAAAGAGTGTGTCCGTTTTTCGACTTGATTTGGATGCGGTAGCCATCAATACCTACCACCGAATACACAGCCTTAGACCATCTTGCTGCTTCTTTATCAAATGTTTTCTTTTTTAGTCGATACAAAACCTTTTCACCGACCTCGAACTCGTTTTCAATCCTCTCGGCTTCAGCCTGGTTGTGGACAAGTTCAGATTCAATTACCTTACCTTTAGCTTCGTTGGGAGAATGTCAACCTTATGGAGGCGGACAAAAACCCTAATTGCGGCTAGTACGGTCGGGCCAGTTTTGTTGGTTAGTAGTTTGGCGTAGCCTAGGCGAGAGTTGATGTTGATTGCAGTCAAGATTGGTCTTTTCTCCCAAAACGCCAAGTCCATCTGCCACGAATTGGGGTTAGTCGATGCGATTTTGAACCCATCGTATCGATTCTTCTGCTACTGAAATCGCTGAATATCGCTCTGGTTTAAGTACCATTCCTTGACGATTTTCATCGTAATCTTTGGCTCCAGTTCTTTAGCCTTCTGGTACAAGGCTTGGGCACCCACATAGCCCGTTTTGGGGTCATAGTATATTTTGGACAACAGCTGATCCATCGCTCTATATGGTTATAAAACAAAAAAATCCCCTGCCAGGTAGTTGCTTCTATGTCTAGCGGTTCGGTGGTGATACCATCCGCAAGTACACGACGCATGTCGTAGTAGTAGTTTAGAGCTGTTTTAGTCTGGGTGTACGTAATGATTGATTTACTCTCCTTACTGAGTCTAAACCCCTTGTTAGTGCCCTGTAGCGTGATGCGACCGCGAACAACTGATTCAAAGCCATCTGGGTTGAGGATATTACCGTTTCGACCACCATTCTGCTGCACTCCCTTCGCGGAAACCTTGACCTTGTAAGATTCGTCTGGTAGGTAGCAAATGTAGTTCTTAGAGGACAATGATACCATAGCATCACCAGACCACTCATCCTTGAACAAACCTGGCGTTCGGCGATCAAACTGAGCCATCTCTTCGCTATAATCACGTGGGAACCACTCGTACTTATGCTGCTGAAAATGCTCACGAAGCTCGGGCTTGATACACTCAACGAATGGCTTCTTACAGCTGAACGCAATACAAGCCGAGTATGTGTCCATTTCTTGGTACTGGAATTCCGAACGGTCGAAGTAGAAGTCAATGCAATCATAGTAGAAATGCAACATACGGAGCTTAGCGAGCTGATAGATTGCAATCGATAGATGAATTGGGTTCTTATTGTTGAGCTTTCGCTCCTTCATAGTGAATTCACATGAATCATTCAGCTCTTCCATTCCATGGATGGTGAAGTGCTCAATCTTGGCCTTGATTGCCTTGTCGTCCGACTCATACCTGACCTCCTTGTGCTTGCTCATGTCCATGCCAGATCGACCAAACGCACTATTACCAACCAGTTTCATTATCTCAGCAATCATAGCCTTATTATTGCTACCCTCACTAAGCGTTTTCAGCTTAGTCAACAAGTCTAGAACCAAATGAATCTTACGATTGGTTGTCGATTCATTCATGAATCTATCGATTTTGAGCGCATCAAATGATTTAGGGTTCGTAATGATTTTTTTCAACTCTTGGACTAAATCATCCATATCAGAGTCAGATACCTTCTCAATAATGATCTTACAGATGGATTTAACATTTTCATCACCCTCTCGTCGTGCGCTCGATACGGCTTCCATGAATGGTGCAAATGCCTTGTGAGAGCTAGCCTTGATGAAGCTGTAAGTCTTGGTGATCTCCATACCATGAGAAATGTACCATTTGAGTAGCGGTGCATAAATGAGGACCTTCTCACCAAAGTAGCTCCCGATGAGTTTGCGAGCCGGCTTTGCTCGGCTTTTCTTGCGCTCCTCGTTGTACTCGAACATGTGCTGGCCGATGACACTCCGATCGCTGCAGTCGATAAGGGTGTTCTTGAAAATTGGGGTCATTTCACTGAAGTAGGGTTTGAGGTGCTCTGGTGTACGGATATCACACTCGAGGAAGCCAAAGATCTTATCATTTACAATATCATCGACGATCCCTGTGTATGCTTCGATGGTAGTCAACCGTCCACATGGCATCTCATTACCTAGAGCCCACAAATACAGAGCATCCTTTAGCGACATGTTCTTGCGAGCAACGTTGCATCCCACACAGCTGATCAAGATATTACCATCGATGTGTCCGAGCTTGTTATTGATTCGGTCAGCCGAGGCAGTATCAGCTGTGAGTTGCTTGTAGCATAGCCCACACAGGTACTTTTGTCGCTCTAGCAAGTCGTTGAGGTGTTCTAGTGTCATATTGAATTCACGATCGGCATCAGCATCCTGGGTCTTATATCCACTTAAGTGACTAGCGGGAAAGTCAAACGCTTCAGCAGGCTCCTTACTTGGTTGCTGGAGGTTGTTGAAGCACGTCTTCAGCCGATGATCTTTTTGCAGATCCTACCCCCTCGAATCTTGGTCTCGTTGCGTTTCGCGTATCTGTTGAAGATGATAGAAGGACCACCAGCAATGTTCGCCTTCATCTTGGTGTAGATGTCCTTCTCCTCTCTATCGATCCTGTACACCAACCTGTCTGAGTTGAATTCAAGTAGCTTCTTGTGGCGGAAGCCCTTTAGCGACATGTTCTTGCGAGCAACGTTGCATCCCACACAGCTGATCAAGATATTACCATCGATGTGTCCGAGCTTGTTATTGATTCGGTCAGCCGAGGCAGTATCAGCTGTCAGTTGCTTGTAGCATAGCCCACACAGGTACTTTTGTCGCTCTAGCAAGTCGTTGAGGTGTTCTAGTGTCATATTGAATTCACGATCGGCTGGGTCTTATATCCACTTAAGTGACTAGCGGGAAAGTCAAACGCTTCAGCAGGCTCCTTACTTGGTTGCTGGAGGTTGTTGAAGCACGTCTTCAGCCGATGATCTTTTTGCAGATCCTACCCCCTCGAATCTTGGTCTCGTTGCGTTTCGCGTATCTGTTGAAGATGATAGAAGGACCACCAGCAATGTTCGCCTTCATCTTGGTGTAGATGTCCTTCTCCTCTCTATCGATCCTGTACACCAACCTGTCTGAGTTGAATTCAAGTAGCTTCTTGTGGCGGAAGCCCTTTAGCGACATGTTCTTGCGAGCAACGTTGCATCCCACACAGCTGATCAAGATATTACCATCGATGTGTCCGAGCTTGTTATTGATTCGGTCAGCCGAGGCAGTATCAGCTGTCAGTTGCTTGTAGCATAGCCCACACAGGTACTTTTGTCGCTCTAGCAAGTCGTTGAGGTGTTCTAGTGTCATATTGAATTCACGATCGGCATCAGCATCCTGGGTCTTATATCCACTTAAGTGACTAGCGGGAAAGTCAAACGCTTCAGCAGGCTCCTTACTTGGTTGCTGGAGGTTGTTGAAGCACGTCTTCAGCCGATGATCTTTTTGCAGATCCTACCCCCTCGAATCTTGGTCTCGTTGCGTTCGCGTATCTGTTGAAGATGATAGAAGGACCACCAGCAATGTTCGCCTTCATCTTGGTGTAGATGGCATCAGCATCCTGGGTCTTATATCCACTTAAGTGACTAGCGGGAAAGTCAAACGCTTCAGCAGGCTCCTTACTTGGTTGCTGGAGGTTGTTGAAGCACGTCTTCAGCCGATGATCTTTTTGCAGATCCTACCCCCTCGAATCTTGGTCTCGTCGCGTTTCGCGTATCTGTTGAAGATGATAGAAGGACCACCAGCAATGTTCGCCTTCATCTTGGTGTAGATGTCCTTCTCCTCTCTATCGATCCTGTACACCAACCTGTCTGAGTTGAATTCAAGTAGCTTCTTGTGGCGGAAGCCCTTTAGCGACATGTTCTTGCGAGCAACGTTGCATCCCACACAGCTGATCAAGATATTACCATCGATGTGTCCGAGCTTGTTATTGATTCGGTCAGCCGAGGCAGTATCAGCTGTGAGTTGCTTGTAGCATAGCCCACACAGGTACTTTTGTCGCTCTAGCAAGTCGTTGAGGTGTTCTAGTGTCATATTGAATTCACGATCGGCATCAGCATCCTGGGTCTTATATCCACTTAAGTGACTAGCGGGAAAGTCAAACGCTTCAGCAGGCTCCTTACTTGGTTGCTGGAGGTTGTTGAAGCACGTCTTCAGCCGATGATCTTTTTGCAGATCCTACCCCCTCGAATCTTGGTCTCGTTGCGTTTCGCGTATCTGTTGAAGATGATAGAAGGACCACCAGCAATGTTCGCCTTCATCTTGGTGTAGATGTCCTTCTCCTCTCTATCGATCCTGTACACCAACCTGTCTGAGTTGAATTCAAGTAGCTTCTTGTGGCGGAAGACCTTTAGCGACATGTTCTTGCGAGCAACGTTGCATCCCACACAGCTGATCAAGATATTACCATCGATGTGTCCGAGCTTGTTATTGATTCGGTCAGCCGAGGCAGTATCAGCTGTGAGTTGCTTGTAGCATAGCCCACACAGGTACTTTTGTCGCTCTAGCAAGTCGTTGAGGTGTTCTAGTGTCATATTGAATTCACGATCGGCATCAGCATCCTGGGTCTTATATCCACTTAAGTGACTAGCGGGAAAGTCAAACGCTTCAGCAGGCTCCTTACTTGGTTGCTGGAGGTTGTTGAAGCACGTCTTCAGCCGATGATCTTTTTGCAGATCCTACCCCCTCGAATCTTGGTCTCGTTGCGTTTCGCGTATCTGTTGAAGATGATAGAAGGACCACCAGCAATGTTCGCCTTCATCTTGGTGTAGATGTCCTTCTCCTCTCTATCGATCCTGTACACCAACCTGTCTGAGTTGAATTCAAGTAGCTTCTTGTGGCGGAAGCCCTTTAGCGACATGTTCTTGCGAGCAACGTTGCATCCCACACAGCTGATCAAGATATTACCATCGATGTGTCCGAGCTTGTTATTGATTCGGTCAGCCGAGGCAGTATCAGCTGTGAGTTGCTTGTAGCATAGCCCACACAGGTACTTTTGTCGCTCTAGCAAGTCGTTGAGGTGTTCTAGTGTCATATTGAATTCACGATCGGCATCAGCATCCTGGGTCTTATATCCACTTAAGTGACTAGCGGGAAAGTCAAACGCTTCAGCAGGCTCCTTACTTGGTTGCTGGAGGTTGTTGAAGCACGTCTTCAGCCGATGATCTTTTTGCAGATCCTACCCCCTCGAATCTTGGTCTCGTTGCGTTTCGCGTATCTGTTGAAGATGATAGAAGGACCACCAGCAATGTTCGCCTTCATCTTGGTGTAGATGTCCTTCTCCTCTCTATCGATCCTGTACACCAACCTGTCTGAGTTGAATTCAAGTAGCTTCTTGTGGCGGAAGCCCTTTAGCGACATGTTCTTGCGAGCAACGTTGCATCCCACACAGCTGATCAAGATATTACCATCGATGTGTCCGAGCTTGTTATTGATTCGGTCAGCCGAGGCAGTATCAGCTGTGAGTTGCTTGTAGCATAGCCCACACAGGTACTTTTGTCGCTCTAGCAAGTCGTTGAGGTGTTCTAGTGTCATATTGAATTCACGATCGGCATCAGCATCCTGGGTCTTATATCCACTTAAGTGACTAGCGGGAAAGTCAAACGCTTCAGCAGGCTCCTTACTTGGTTGCTGGAGGTTGTTGAAGCACGTCTTCAGCCGATGATCTTTTTGCAGATCCTACCCCCTCGAATCTTGGTCTCGTGCGTTTCGCGAATCTGTTGAAGATGATAGAAGGACCACCAGCAATGTTCGCCTTCATCTTGGTGTAGATGTCCTTCTCCTCTCTATCGATCCTGTACACCAACCTGTCTGAGTTGAATTCAAGTAGCTTCTTGTGGCGGAAGCCCTTTAGCGACATGTTCTTGCGAGCAACGTTGCATCCCACACAGCTGATCAAGATATTACCATCGATGTGTCCGAGCTTGTTATTGATTCGGTCAGCCGAGGCAGTATCAGCTGTGAGTTGCTTGTAGCATAGCCCACACAGGTACTTTTGTCGCTCTAGCAAGTTGTTGAGGTGTTCTAGTGTCATATTGAATTCACGATCGGCATCAGCATCCTGGGTCTTATATCCACTTAAGTGACTAGCGGGAAAGTCAAACGCTTCAGCAGGCTCCTTACTTGGTTGCTGGAGGTTGTTGAAGCACGTCTTCAGCCGATGATCTTTTTGCAGATCCTACCCCCTCGAATCTTGGTCTCGTTGCGTTTCGCGTATCTGTTGAAGATGATAGAAGGACCACCAGCAATGTTCGCCTTCATCTTGGTGTAGATGTCCTTCTCCTCTCTATCGATCCTGTACACCAACCTGTCTGAGTTGAATTCAAGTAGCTTCTTGTGGCGGAAGCCCTTTAGCGACATGTTCTTGCGAGCAACGTTGCATCCCACACAGCTGATCAAGATATTACCATCGATGTGTCCGAGCTTGTTATTGATTCGGTCAGCCGAGGCAGTATCAGCTGTGAGTTGCTTGTAGCATAGCCCACACAGGTACTTTTGTCGCTCTAGCAAGTCGTTGAGGTGTTCTAGTGTCATATTGAATTCACGATCGGCATCAGCATCCTGGGTCTTATATCCACTTAAGTGACTAGCGGGAAAGTCAAACGCTTCAGCAGGCTCCTTACTTGGTTGCTGGAGGTTGTTGAAGCACGTCTTCAGCCGATGATCTTTTTGCAGATCCTACCCCCTCGAATCTTGGTCTCGTTGCGTTTCGCGTATCTGTTGAAGATGATAGAAGGACCACCAGCAATGTTCGCCTTCATCTTGGTGTAGATGTCCTTCTCCTCTGTACACCAACCTGTCTGAGTTGAATTCAAGTAGCTTCTTGTGGCGGAAGCCCTTTAGCGACATGTTCTTGCGAGCAACGTTGCATCCCACACAGCTGATCAAGATATTACCATCGATGTGTCCGAGCTTGTTATTGATTCGGTCAGCCGAGGCAGTATCAGCTGTCAGTTGCTTGTAGCATAGCCCACACAGGTACTTTTGTCGCTCTAGCAAGTCGTTGAGGTGTTCTAGTGTCATATTGAATTCACGATCGGCATCAGCATCCTGGGTCTTATATCCACTTAAGTGACTAGCGGGAAAGTCAAACGCTTCAGCAGGCTCCTTACTTGGTTGCTGGAGGTTGTTGAAGCACGTCTTCAGCCGATGATCTTTTTGCAGATCCTACCCCCTCGAATCTTGGTCTCGTTGCGTTTCGCGTATCTGTTGAAGATGATAGAAGGACCACCAGCAATGTTCGCCTTCATCTTGGTGTAGATGTCCTTCTCCTCTCTATCGATCCTGTACACCAACCTGTCTGAGTTGAATTCAAGTAGCTTCTTGTGGCGGAAGCCCTTTAGCGACATGTTCTTGCGAGCAACGTTGCATCCCACACAGCTGATCAAGATATTACCATCGATGTGTCCGAGCTTGTTATTGATTCGGTCAGCCGAGGCAGTATCAGCTGTGAGTTGCTTGTATCATAGCCCACACAGGTACTTTTGTCGCTCTAGCAAGTCGTTGAGGTGTTCTAGTGTCATATTGAATTCACGATCGGCATCAGCATCCTGGGTCTTATATCCACTTAAGTGACTAGCGGGAAAGTCAAACGCTTCAGCAGGCTCCTTACTTGGTTGCTGGAGGTTGTTGAAGCACGTCTTCAGCC